CATAAAGAACTTTGTTTTTTAAATTTTAATTCAATTTTATTTATAAAAAAAACATCTGTATTGTCACGTATTTAATTATGATTAATCATAAAGGAACTTTATTTAATTATGTTTATTAAAATTATATTATGATCAATGATAAAGGATTAACTTCAAAATTGTATTTAATAAAATTATATTTAATTTTATTTATAAAAAAATACATCTGTGTCACCAAATATTTAACTATGATTAATGATAAAAGAACTTAATTTTTTATTTTATTATTATTTTTTTTTATTAATCAGTGTCTTTTTTAAAAAGGTTGACTCAGTTTAACAAATCATAAAAAAAGAAGAAAAAATATAATTTGGATTTTTTTACAGTGAGTAAAATCACAGGTCAGCAGCTTATTAATAATAACGTTACTTTTGAGACAAAAAACAATAATTCACAAATCCGAGTCAACACACACAAATCTGTACAGTTAAAGATGTAATCTGCTAACCTCTTTAATTAGTGCTCAGAGATGTTGTTCAGTCTGAATAATAGGCGTGTAGGTGATGTGTGCTGGCGCACCAGTGCATGATGGGTGTTTATAATGGATGGCGAGGGGCTTGTGTCCTCCTGACTGTAATATTTTTCCCTCTTTTCAGTGCACAGTAAATGACTGCTGTTATGGACCGCTGGTCGACTGCATCAAACAGTATCCTTCCCATAAAACTTTAAGCCCGAAATTGACGAGGAGCCATTCGCAGGGCTGAGATTCACCTGACATAAAAGTGTGTGTGTGTGTGTGTATATGTATGTGTGTGTGTGCAGCTCTTTGTTCACAGTCTGCATCATACAGTGTTTCACAGCTAGAAGCCCTCACTGTCTGTGTTTGTTCGTTTGTGTGTGTGTGTGTGTGTGTGTGTGTGCGCGCGCCTGTGATTGTGTGTGATTTTTCCTCAAATGCACACAATTATATTTTAAAAGATTTAAACTCTAAATTGTTGTCGTGTTTTAAAAAATATATGTTTAAACACTGAGGGCGATTGATATTTGATGTGGTGTCATTGTTTTGTGAAATGCTTATATCAGATATTATCCAATGTTTTTTGTTACATTTTTACACACACACACTGAATTTTTTGATCTTGTGTGTGTGTGTGTGTGTGTGTGTGTGTGTGTGTGTGTGTGTGTGTGTGTCTCAGACTCATCTGTGTGTGTGTGTGTGTGTGTGTGTGTGTTGGGTGAAGGGTCACGGTGTTTCTCTGTCTGTGGTCACTCATCCCCATCCCTCCACCCTCTCTCTCCATCTCTTTTCACGCGTCAGCATTCATTTACTCTCTGCATCTGTCCGGGTTCATCATATCGCCCACAGAAACGCCCCGTGACTGACACATCATCCACAGACGCCCATCAAGACACAAACACAGTCTACAATATGCATTTCTGACACACGCTCATCGTATCATTGTGATGGTTTGGCTGCATGTGTTTTGTATGCTGTTATACTGCTGTACTTGATGGAAATGCTCAAACTACCACCTAACAACAACACCACAAACACTCAGAGCTCTAACTACCACCTAACAACAACACCGCAAACACTCAGAGCTCTAACTACCACCTAACAACAACACCAGAAACACTCAGAGCTCTAACTACCACCTAACAACAACACCAGAAACACTCAGAGCTCTACCTACAACCTAACAACAACACCAGAAACACTCAGAGCTCTAACTACCACCTAACAACAACACCAGAAACACTCAGAGCTCTAACTACCACCTAACAACAACACCAGAAACACTCAGAGCTCTAACTACCACCTAACAACAACACCAGAAACACTCAGAGCTCTACCTACAACCTAACAACAACACCAGAAACACTCAGAGCTCTACCTACAACCTAACAACAACACCACAAACACTCAGAGCTCTAACTACCACCTAACAACACCCCTACAAACACTCAGAGCTCTACCTACAACCTAACAACAACACCAGAAACACTCAGAGCTCTACCTACAACCTAACAACAACACCAGAAACACTCAGAGCTCTACCTACAACCTAACAACAACACCAGAAACACTCAGAGCTCTACCTACAACCTAACAACAACACCACAAACCCTCAGAGCTCTAACTACCACCTAACAACACCCCTACAAACACTCAGAGCTCTAACCTCCACCGAACAACAACACCACAAACACTCAGAGCTCTAACCTCCACCGAACAACAACACCACAAACACTCAGAGCTCTAACCTCCACCGAACAACAACACCACAAACACTCAGAGCTCTAACTACCACCTAACAACAACACCGCAAACACTCAGAGCTCTAACTACCACCTAACAACAACACCGCAAACACTCAGAGCTCTAACTACCACCTAACAACAACACCACAAACACTCAGAGCTCTAACTACCACCTAACAACAACACCACAAACACTCAGAGCTCTAACTACCACCTAACAACAACACCACAAACACTCAGAGCTCTAACTACCACCTAACAACAACACCGCAAACACTCAGAGCTCTAACTACCACCTAACAACAACACCGCAAACACTCAGAGCTCTCACCTCCACCGAACAACAACACCACAAACACTCAGAGCTCTAACTACCACCTAACAACAACACCGCAAACACTCAGAGCTCTAACTACCACCGAACAACACAACAAACACTCAGAGCTCTAACTACCACCGAACAACACCGCAAACACTCAGAGCTCTAACTACCACCGAACAACACCGCAAACACTCAGAGCTCTAACTACCACCTAACAACAACACCGCAAACACTCAGAGCTCTAACTACCACCGAACAACACCACAAACACTCAGAGCTCTAACTACCACCAAACAACACCCCTACAAACACTCAGAGCTCTAACTACCACCTAACAACACCCCTACAAACACTCAGAGCTCTAACTACCACCTAACAACACCCCTGCAAACACTCAACTACACTCATTCTGATATTATTACAAGCTCATTCTTTTGCTGTTGCCATAGCAACCTTTCTCAGCTGTCCGGGTGTCTCCTGGCAGGGAGCATTTAGAAGTGGACTTGGGAAAGTTGACCATCCCACTTTTAATTTGCACCTCAGTTCCCCCGAGAAGCGAGAGCAGTGAACACGAGAGTTTGTGACTGACATAAATGAGCAGATTTGTGACGTTTGTCCTTAACCACATTCCCCCAGTGCCATCGGTCTGGAACATGAAGACACTCTGAGAGACAAACTCAGAGAGAGGAACCTGTCGTTTTTAGGTGAGTCTCCTGCTGCTGCTTCAACACAGGACATTACATCATTTGACCCTTTCCACAGCTGCGAGACAGGCCATACATATGGATCTCTATATTGATCAAGTTAATAACGACACAAGCTGCAGTCTCAAACTAACTAGCTTCTGTTGAGTTTAATATAGGTTACAATTCAATCCACATATGCCCGTTTGTTTGTTTGTTTGTTGGTTTGTTGGTTGGTTGGTTGATTGTTGTTTTTTGGTAAGGCTAGGGACAGGTTCACTAGTATGTGTAAGTTAAAGCATCAGTTATGTTTATGGGTTAGAGAATAGTTTAATGGTATGGAGACTGTAAGTTAAGGAGTCAGTTAGAGACTGGTTTAATGGTATGGGTAAGTTTAAGAGTCAGTTAAAGACTGGTTTAATGGTATGGGTGAGTTTTAGAGTCAGCTAGAGACTGGTTTAATGGTATGGGTGAGTTTAAGAGTCAGTTAAAGACTGGTTTAATGGTATGGGTAAGTTTAAGAGTCAGCTAGAGACTGGTTTAATGGTATGGGTGAGTTTTAGAGTCAGCTAGAGACTGGTTTATTGGTGTGGGTAAGTCTAAGAGTCAGCTAGAGACTGGTTTAATGGTATGGGTAAGTTTAAGAGTCAGCTAGAGACTGGTTTAATGGTATGGGTGAGTTTTAGAGTCAGCTAGAGACTGGTTTAATGGTATGGGTGAGTTTTAGAGTCAGCTAGAGACTGGTTTATTGGTGTGGGTAAGTTTAAGAGTCAGCTAGAGACTGGTTTATTGGTGTGGGTAAGTTTAAGAGTCAGTTAAAGACTGGTTTAATGGTGTGGGTAAGTTTAAGAGTCAGCTAGAGACTGGTTTATTGGTGTGGGTAAGTTTAAGAGTCAGTTAAAGACTGGTTTAATGGTGTGGGTAAGTTTAAGAGTCAGCTAGAGACTGGTTTATTGGTGTGGGTAAGTTTAAGAGTCAGTTAAAGACTGGTTTAATGGTGTGGGTAAGTTTAAGAGTCAGTTAAAGACTGGTTTAATGGTGTGGGTAAGTTTAAGAGTCAGCTAGAGACTGGTTTATTGGTGTGGGTAAGTTTAAGAGTCAGTTAGAGACTGGTTTAATGGTGTGGGTAAGTTTAAAGGTCAGTTGTGGTTATGGATTGGTTTAATAGTATGGGTAAATTGAAGGGTCAGTTGGGATCAAGGATGGGTTTAATGGCATGGTTAAGTTTAAATGTCAGTTAAGCTTAAGGGACAGGATAAGGGTGAGTCAGGGATTGGTTTGATAGTATGGATAAGTCATAGGATGGGTTAATGGCAGGTTTATTGGTAAGGTTACGTTTTTGTTTTGCTAAGGTTAGAGAATGGTTTAAAGGTTTGTGTAAGTGTAAGGTTTGGTGATGGGATTAATGGTATGGGTAAGCTTTATAGGTAGGTTCATTACAGGTTTATGGGTATGGTTAAGTTTTAAGGTCGGTTAAGCATAGACACGGGTTTAATGTTATGGGTTAGAGACAGATGTACTGGTGTGGTAGATTAATAACTGGTGTAAAAACATTCAGCTATGTTATTGTGTGTATCTGCAGTACATTACAATAACTTATCTAAATGTCCATTTGTGTGTGTGTGTGTGTGTGTGTGTGTGTGTGTGTGTGTGCGTGCATTTCTATTTTTTTGTTTTATTTTATTTGTTTAGATTGGCATGTTCATATAAACAAATGAAAACATATAAATAAAAGCTTAATAAATATTTATGCGCATAACTAATACGTTTGACCTTAAATCTTTTTATATATATACACTTTCGCCTGTTACTCTGTGGCAAGACTTGATATCCTTTTTGGCGTAATCGCTCTTCTTTCTCACCTCAGCTCAGTTTGCCTTCTGTCTTTTAGTTTATTACTTTTTTTATGACTGGAGGTTTTGACATTTTGTTAGGATGTTGAAGAAGTACAGCAGTGCATTATTAATAAGACGTGTCCTGACAGAAGTCTATCTGGATGATCCTCCCAGTGTGCATTGCTCATCTGCAGATTTCATGCATCTACAGTAGTGTTTGTCCGGTCAGCGGCGTGCGGTTCAGGTGTGAATGAGGGCGTCTGACCCTACTGCAGGCGTTTGGGCTCACGGGGCACCACACTGCAAATAAAAAGTGCTGTTCTTTTTTTCATTCTTTATTTAATTGTAGTTTTTTGTTAAACCCTTCAATTCAAGGAACAAGCTCCAAAGCAAAAACAATGGTATGGCATGTTACAACTTTGAAGTAAAATAGAAGCAAGACAAAAAGTCCATGTAAAAAAGCATTGCACGGCCTGATAAATGGATTGTAAATGAGCTGGGCTTCAGCTGACACACACCATTAATTGTAATCAAAGGTGATGTGTGGAGATGATCCTCAGGCCGAGTCCATGTCAACAGTGTGTTCAGAGAGCCAGTGTGATTTAATGGAGAAATCAGCTGTTTGACCACGACTCAAGGACAATGGCTGAGGTCACACATATCACTGATGAAACACACACACACACACACACACAGCATGTGCAGCGCCAGCAAACATTACACTGATGAAGAGGCTTCAGTCTTTCCTCTGTTCACTTCACCGAGGTCAAGTCTGCGGCTGTTTTTAAAGCTGTAGTGTCACCATGAGCACATTTAATCCACACTTCAGCACAAATGGCCTGAAGCCTTCCTGTACATCACTGCACTATGCACTAATGCAGAAATGGTACTTTAAACAAACTTCAAATAATGACTTGCTATAGCTCAGTATTTGAGTNTTACNCAAAATGACTTGGGGTTCAAGCTNTAAAGTAAATTTCATCTAAATCAGAAAAATAACATTAAGATTAATAACATAAGATTATTTGACTCAGCCCATTGGCAGATTATTTAGCCTGTTTTAAGGAAAAACTCACTTTTTATAAACAAGTTATTATTTTGCACTAGAAAATGCTTCTCAATTTCAGAGTTTTGGGCTAAAAACAACAACAACAACTCTACATAAGTGAGAAAAGCATATTTGCAGTGTATGCTGGAGGACTGAGCTCAAACAGAACTGATCACCCCACCAATCCTTCTGAATGTGTTTTGGCACAGATGAGAATCAGCTGCGGGTCAAAGGATACGACAAAACCCCGGACATCATCCTGGAGGTGCCGATCGGTGAGTTCTGCTTCTCTCATCACCGTCTCTGTGTTTACCTGCTGCTTGGTGACACTAACCATAAAGACCTATAAATAATTAAATGACTTCATTTGGGCGACATGAGGTCCTAGTGGTCAGCACTGTGGCCTTACAGGTCAGTGGTTCGAGTTCACGCTGGGTCAGTTGGGGTTTCCGTGTGGAGTTTGCATGTTCTCCCTATGTTGGTTTCCTCTGGGTGCTCTGCCGGCAGAGCTGTGAGAAGTGAAACGCTTTTGGCTGATTTTTTAAAAATGGGAGGAGCTAGTCTATGCCCCGCCCACCCTTCATGTTTCAGTTGAGATTATGCCAAACATCAGTCAAACATGCACATTTTAAAGCACTTCACATGAGCTTTAAAGGATGCTGTGCATGTTGTGTTGTGTAAAGTGTTAAAGTGTGTGTTGTTGTTGTGTTGTTCAGCTGTTGATGGCCACATCGTTCACTGGATCGAGAGTAAAGCTTCATTTGGAGATGATCACAGTCACAACACATACCTGAACGAGCAGTTCTGGAGCTACTGCAACAGGTCAGACGCACACACACACACACACACACACACACACACACACACACACATACACACACACACACACACACACACAACTGAAGCAGTTCACCAATAAAGAAAGATCGAGAGCTGGATTATGATTGTTCTTGTAATTAGTCATTGTTGTTCATTTTAAACAGTCACAGATATATACACTGTAAGAAAAAAAATCATAAAAAAAGGTCAAATGACTGGCAGCTTTGGCTGCCAAACAAAAACCATAAAATTACGGTAAAATGTCTTTGTTGAAATAAAGTGCAAAAAATAATAAATCTACAGATATTTTCATTAAAATGTTTACAGAAAAACACTGTTATTTTACAGACTTTTCCTAGATTACGATCAAATCTGTTCAATAAAGGTATACACAAAGAGTTTTATAAAGAAACACTGTTATTATACAGACTTCTCCTAGATTATTATGATCAAACATCATCAATAAAGTGACTGAAAAGTTCAAAAGTTCAAGAGAAAACAATGTTATTTAAAAGAATTTTCCCTAAATCATTACGATTAAACACCTTTAATAACATGCCATTTTTTTACGTTTTTTTTTTTTTTTACAGAGCAAGTAATTACAATTTATTACTTTAATTTACGTAATTTTAAATGTACTTAAAAAACAGGAAAAAACACTGTGAATAATATGTCAGACACATTGCTGTAATTTGTCATTAATTATATAGTACATAAAATAACAGTCAAGCCGTTATTTACAGATAATGTTTGTCATTTTCACAAACTTTTGAATATAATTTAAAATAACAGAAAAAATACTGTACAAATAATACTGTAATTTCCCTGTATAAAAAACACAAATGTCAGTAATTTGTCTTTAATAATAAAGTACCTAAAATGAAAGTCAAATGGTTAATTTAGAGAGATTTGTTGTCATTTTACTAAGTTTTGAATATAATGTGAAATGACAAAAAATTACTGTAAAAAATTTAAGGATGATTTCTGTAAAATTAGATTTTTTTTTTACAGTGTATATCTACACACATGTAGGCATTATGTGGATGTGTCCCCATACTTTTATTCTGTATTGTTTGTGTTTTGTGCAAGTGTGTGTGTGTGTGTGTTTAGACTGGACCTGCTGTCATGTCCGCGCTCTGCTTGTCAGATCGGCTTTGGCATGTCAGAGTAATGTCAGGCCCTTCAGAACGCTCCTCTCAGAGCTGCTTGTAATTTTTAATTGACATTTAGATTTGACATTTGCGCTGCTCTGGGATCAGCTCGTGTTGTCTGCTCTCCTCTGTCAGACCGCTTCATCTCTCCTGTTTAGATCAGTCAAATAGTGAAAAGGTCAGCGAGTTTCTCTCCTCTGACCCTCCCAGCATCACGCCGCTCTCTTCAATTAGTGACCACCTGTACTCACACTCACACACTCCTGTCATTTACACAACACACTGTTAATGTTGCCCTGCTTTATTTTACAAGATGCATCTCTGATCTGTGTGTGTGTGTGTGAGCTGAGAATACAGTAGCACACAGATAATGTTGACCCTAATTGTGGCGTTTTGGTGACTGTCTCTTTAAATGCAAATGAGAAGTGCTCTATTTAGAAGAGGGCGGAGCTACAGACAGCTGTGCATCAGCATAGTGGCAGATGTGAAACAGCAGTGTGTGTGTTGTGAGTGCTGGTCAGGTGTGTGTTCATGCTTCTGTCAGTCTATGTCGCTCCTGTCGCTGTTCATCTAGAACTCCACATCTATAATCCTCTGAGTCTATGCTGACATGATCTTCAGCAGCTCAAACACTCTAATGGCTAATGGACAGACGGCTGCTTCTCACTCAGGCCTGCTGGACATGCTAATGAGATGGGCACTAGTGGGCGGGGCTTTCCCCCTCTGATGACACGTACAAAGGGAGAACGTCAATCACAGTGTTTCCTTCATCATCTATTCCAGCATATGTTTTACACAGGGGATGCCCCTCCAGCTGCAACCCAGTACTGGGAAACATTCTCACACACACACTCATACACTATGGCCAAATTAGTTGATCAGTTCCCCTATAGCGCATGTGTTTGGACTGTGGGGTAAACCGGAGCACCCGGAGGAAACCCACACCAACACAGGGAGAACATGCAAACTCCACACAGAAACACTGACTCAGGGTATATACAGGAATCAGAGAGTGAAATTCAATACCTTTTAAGATGATTTAAAAGACTCTTCTCATACACTGTAAGACCTCATCGCCACTCTGAACAGTAGACAATGGAGACATTTTAAAAACAGTGTTTGTGTGTGTGTGAATGGAAGTGTATGGGTGTTTCCTGGTGATGGGTTGCAGCTGGAAGGGCATCCGCTGTGTAAAAAATGTGCTGGATAAGTTGGCGGTTCATTCCGCTGTGGCGTCCCCTGATTAATAAAGGAACTAAGCGAAAATGAACGAATGGATGGATTTTTCCCAACATTAAATTAAAATGAATAAAATCCATAACACAATTAAAAACTGCACAACAGAACTGTAAAAACTTTAAATGAATATTTATTAGAAAATGTAAGAACTATAATATTACATCACAGATAAATCTCTCAGCGTTTTCCTGCATCTGAAATATGAATTAATCCTCAATTCCTCCATAAAAGCAAGTGAAGTGAGAGATGGAGATGAGCTTTTTTTTCTGCAAAACACACAACTAATTTCCTCTCCGAACACGTCAGCAGCGGTCACATTCATCATGCAAACAACAGTGTGTGTGAGAGCTGAAGCCGGTAGTAAAGCGTGGTCGGTGGAGTCATGGCTAATGATGCTTCAGCTATAAAGAGGAGGATCTGATGCTGAAAACGCTGCACATTCTCATCAATCTCAGCCTGACGGATGGATGTGTGCTCCTAATTGAGTTATCCATCTACTCCGCCTCATGTTGCATTAAAAATTATTCAGCTGATAGTGAATGTTAAGCACATAATAAGGCTGGTGTGTGTGTGTTTTAGCGGAAGTGGGAGAGGTTAAGTGTGTCACGTAATCAGACAAGACAAACCCATGCTCTAAATGTGGAAATGGAGAAAATTGTAAGCCCCACATTAATTTCTGATGTTATTTGTCATGTAGACAGTGTGATATATGCAGTGAAGTGATTATACAGCCGCCTGTGACCTTAAAATAAACAAGAAACTAAAATAATATCAATAAGAATCTAAATCTTGGAGTATTATGCTGTTTACACCAGACGCATGTATGAGTAAGGCATGCTTTTTGCATGTAAACAGACGCGTGAACATTTTGAGTTTACTTGCTTCATTCCTGCATCAAATTCCCTTGACAAAACATGCAGATTCCCATCATGTGTAGGGCTTCTGTCTGCCCGGGTGACCCTAGCTTCCTTGCTAAATGGCTAACATGGATTATATTGAGAGATCCGGTATGCTTTAGTGCTTTTGGGAAGGCTGAAAAACCGCGGCAGAATTTTTCGGGCGCCGGTTCGAGGGCCATAGATCCTTTTAAAGTTGCAGCCAGCTCTGCAAGTTCATCAACTCGTTCAAAACTGTTGTGTGATGTCGGCAAGAGGATTTCCCTCGGGACACCAGCAGCAGGTGCTACGTCATAATTACACCCCTACAAGAGCAAGCTATTGATTGGTTACTGCGCACAAATGTCTGCTGGAGTTCAGATTTACCAGCTCCAGTGATTCGTGCAAAACGCTCAACTCACGCCGCGCCATTCACGCCACCTCATTAGCGCGTATCGCGCCACAGAATGTCTATTCAAGTCTTTGCATTGATTACCATGTAAATCACTCACGCTTGACGCTTCTTCTGTGTCTGGTGTGAACGCAGCATTAGGAAGGTTGAAAAACAGCGTAGATTCGTTCGGCGCCGTGTCTGAGTCCACTAGATGCTTTCAGAGATGCAGCAGCTCTGTGAGTTCGTCAACCCCTCCAGAATCTGAACCTGGACAGTGGAGGCTTTCAGCGGTGCTTCAGACTGAGCTGAACCCAGTGTGATGAACTGTTTACCGGTGTCGGCAGGAGGATTTCCCCTCAGGACACCAACAGCAGGCACTACGTCATTATTACACCCCTACAAGAGAAAGCTGATCGGTAAACACAGCGCGAATGTCCGCTGAAGTTCAGATGTTTCATCTCGAGCGATTCGCGCAAAATACTCAACCCACGCCGCTTCATTCTCGTGAACCGCGTCATTCATGCCACCTCATCTGCGCTTATCACTTTCAATTGCAATTGATGCCTTTTCCACGTCTGGCGCTACGTCATAATCACGTCCCTACAAGAGCAAGCTCCTGATTGGTTAACCATTAATTGGTTAACCTTTTTGTAATAAAGTGTGCGGTGCATACGGAGAGGAAAGAGTGTATCTTGCAAGTGGTTTGTCAAACCCACTCACCTGGAGCACACTCAGAACAACACAATATCAGAAGTACACAAATCATGCAACATTTTCTGTGTTTTTGTGCTAAATTTAACGATCAGAGAATCATGAAGTCATGACAAGTGACAGATAAAAAAAAGATGTTTGTTTGTCTTTTTCCATGTGTATCTAAAGGCATTTCTGTCTAAATTGTCTGTGTTTTTACTTCTTATACTCCATAATTTAGATTCTAATTGATATTACTTTAGTTTCTTGTTTATTTTAAGGCCACGGGCGTCATTTCACTGCCTAAATCACACTGTGTACGTTACGAATAACATCAGAAATGATTGTGGAGCTTACAAGTTTCCATAAATGCTGCAGATTTCACAAACACACACACACACACACACACACACACACACACACACACACACACACACACACACACACACACACACACACACACACAAACACACACACAAACAAACAAGTAAACTATGTGTGTGTTTGCACGTGTGTGTGTGTGTGTGTGTGTGTGTGTGTGTGTGTGTGCTGTCAGGATTTGACACACAGATGATGAATGTTCATATAAAGCGCAGTACGGCTCATTTGTCCGGTCGGTCACTCAGGGTTAATACTCTCACTTTCCTCATATAT